ATTGTAAAGCAAAAGAAATCTCTTTCCATTTATAAACAAATCTTTAAAGCCTTGTCATTCAGTCCTTGTCAATAAATAAATAAATAAATAAATAAATAAATCCTTTAATAGCTACCATAAACCACAACATATATATTTTAACCCTGATCAAATAAATTCACTTCATAGTCCTTGTGTTTACTTTAAAAAGCTTGGTCTTTAATCCTGTCAAATAATATTCCACAAGCTGATTTCTTATCATTTTCTGTTTGTCTCCTCTCAGAAACTGCTTCAGTAGTTTAACACATCCCTTTTGTAAATCCAAAATAAGAAGAAATTTGCCCCATTCTGACAATATTTACATATCACATTCATTTCAGTTGGAATGACATCCAAATAAGAACAATGCATTCATTGATATGCAAATAATGTTACATACCATTATAGTTTTTCTTAAAGGATACAGAAAAGTTTGCTAAAAATATAGATCACATACATATTTCAAAAAATATCTAAACTAGATAACATTCTAAATTATTTACATTCTAACCTAGATTATTAGGTTCTAAAACCTAAAAGTAAAAATTGCTGAAAGTTTGGGGTCTTTGGATTTATTCAAACATGCATAATCATTGCTTTGACAATTGCCAAGACATGTGACAAGTTGCATATTTGAAGCAGTATGTTTTTCCATCATTAGAATTGCCACCAACAGACTTAGTTATCAAGACAGTTCACACTTCCAGCTGTGAGCCGTGGTAATTATGGGATACTGAATGATGTGTATGAATGTGTCAGTGAGAGCTTTCCAATTTCACTAAATCCAATCCAGATCTTGTGCAAAATCTGAGAATGCTATTACCAATGTTAAAGGGTGAGCTTATCTTATGGGAATTTTGATAAACATTAGGCAGTGCCGATTGTAATTCTTGTAGTGCAGTTCAATTTCCCAGTGGCAATATTTATATTATGTAGCATATTTGGGACCTAAAAATCTGTTTTTCTCTTTTTACCCTTAGTTCCAGGGTTGGTGTTTTCCTGTGTGGACCTGAAGCCTTGGCCGAAACTCTAAATAAGATGTGCATTAACAATTCAGATGCTGACCCAAGAGGCATACACTTTATATTCAACAAAGAAAATTTTTGAAGATGTACTTACCAATCTTAATTTAGCCATGATGTATTATACTTCGTTGGAATTTTGCTAAAAGTTTCAGGTGTGTTTGATACTGTAAAATTTAGAAGAAAAATACACGGTCTTAAACTGATCCTTTTCTAATCCCATGGCAAGTCTTCTTAAAAGGCTTAGGATATGTTAGCATTGTCAAACACAGACTGAGTTTATATTCTGTATTAAACCATCAGGGGATTTTTATTGTTTTAGGTTAGTGTGCAATCCAAATATATTGTGGTTTGCAAACTAAGGTTTATGGCATGCAGACCATGGGCCCTTTTGAATCTCCCAGCAGACCAAAATCTCATCCAGATTTAGTTCCTTACTCAACCACAAAACTCATTGGGTGATTTTGAACCAATCATTGTCTGTCAGCTCCACCGATTTCACAGGTTGCTACTGTTATTCAAACAAAGGACAGAGAGTCTATACAAGCAGCCCAAATACTCTAAGGTGCTCAACTGCAACGCTTCACTCATTATAAATCTCTTGAGGTTATATAAACAACATTTTTGCAGTCTCTGCTTCAAGCACCTAGATGGGTATCTGATATGACTCTTAGAATAGAAATAGGGCAACAGAAAGTGAGCGAGGACATGATTATTAATACTCACCTTTGGTTTAAATGCCATTTCTTCCTGCCAGGACTCATTCCATTAATCCTGGTAGACCAATGTCAATCTTCATGGTAACAAACAATGGTGGAGAAACTGATTCACTATGGCTTACCATGCAAACCACTGTTCTTGGAATGTTCTCAAGCTAGGAGAATTATTAGAGAAAGGGTTTTAAATACCGAAGATCAGAATGAGGTTAGCCATATTCCAGTCACATTAGAGCTTGTATAACATATCCTAGATGGGAGTCAAGCAGATATCTAGCTGTACTCGTTTCTGCTGCCCAAAAAAGCCATTTTAGGGCTAAGTTTGATATCTTACCCTCCACACTTCTTAATGGGAGATTTACCAGTGCCCCCATGTTTAAAAGAACTTGTCCTTGCAACATATGTTTTGTTGAGACCATCTAACATGTACTACTACACACCTCTGATTACCAGGCCAGTTGACAAATGCTCATTGTTCCTTTACTGACAAAATTAACTGGACGAAATGAAAATGTTCTTATTGCCTTGTTGTTAGATATTGTGTAATGTTGCTAATGTTGCCAAATTTTGCATAGCAGCAGTAAGATTTGCAGACAGATAACTAATGGGACTGGATATGGGGAAACAAATTGAAGGATTTGGGGACTTTTACCATTATTATTGATTGTATATTGTATAATTTGCCATGATTACTGATTGAGCAAATTTGTTTCCTGCTTGGTACTAATTTTATGAAATCGTAGTAGTTTGTCATAAAATCCACTGTGACATCATTGGGTTATTGAATTGTATTTTAATATGCTAATAGGTCACCAGTTTAGCATTCTAGCATCTAAGTAAATATATTTCTTATCAGCATTTTATTATTGATACTATTAATACAGTGCTCATTAACCTCTTAAATGTTATTTTCCTTAGTATCCCATTGACTGAACTCAGATTCTGCTTTAGCCTACTTTATTTGGATTTTATGTACTAATTTACCAGTTTCCTCTTTCTGTTCTTTTAAATCCTTTTTTTGAATTTTATAATTTTTGATGTAAAGCTGAACAAAATACTAGTCAGTGAACTTTTAACATACTTGTCTAGACAGAGAATTAAGGAAAGAAAAGGATGATATAAAAAGATACAGAGTTCTACAAAGTATTTAAAATAAGTACTATATAAAACATATAATGCAAATAAAGCTCTTCTTTTCAAAGTGTTAAAACTTTGCTATTACTTTTCAGTGTATTTTCTTAAAATAAATGCTAGGGTTTTTTTCCAAAATAGTTTAACTGAAAAGTAACAGCAAAGTTTTAATACTTTGAAAAGAAGAGCTTTATTTGTGGTAGTGATGGCAGATGAAGTTTTCCTGTTTAAACTTTCTTCTTAAATTGAGAGTTCTGCTTCAGTAAAGTTCATTATTTTCAATTTACTAAAATAATCACACCCAACTAACTTCCTTCTGCTTCCCAGATTTCTGATTCATTATGTTTACAGTTAAATAAAATGTAATTTTCTTTTAACTGTATACATAAGGGTAATTTTGCAAGAATGAAAGATAATTATATAGCATAAAGCTTATTGTAGAAATTTTTAACACACCCAAAAGTTGGTTTTCCCCCAACTTTTATAAGCACGTTGCTCTTTACCTAGGGTTACCAGATGTCCAGCAAACAGAGGGCATGTTCTCTTTTTTGTCTCCATGTCCTCTATCTGACAGGCATAGCCTTAAAATCAAATATTGTGTGGCTTTTTAAGTGGCTTTTTTTTTTTTTGGACTATTTTCACAACAGTAGTCATTCAAACTTTCATGTATTGTGACCTCGTAAGTTGTCTGCTTCTTTCTCTCCCTCGTCCACCAATACACTTGACAGCCTAGATTTACTGTATGTCATTTACTGTATTTCCTGATTCCAGCAATTGGTTTCAGTCCAGCCCCTTCAAATCTATGATCACTGTAGTCTGTAGATTACATGACCTGTCATACAGTTCAATGGTGAAGTTTGAAAAGTGCATCATTGTCAATTCTATATTATTGCTAGCATATGTTCTTGAAAACAAAGATTTGTTGGAAAAATATTGCAATTGAAAAACCAGTCCTTCTGATGCTGGAAAAAGTATACAGTATATATTTTTTGCAGCTTTTTGCTGTAATTTTTTATTGTGGATGTCAAGAAAGTTAAACAGTTAGTGTGTCCTCCTTTCCCCCATTTGTCCTCCTTTCCTTGTCCATGTGCTCCTTTTCCTGTTCAGATATTTGGTAATCCTATCTTTATCTCACTTGCCCCACCTCACTTATCAACAGTGACAGTCACAAAAAGAGAGATTGTCATTATTGCGATACAACAATGTTCAGTGTTGTCAGTAGAAAGTTATTGAAGAGTTATGATTTCAAAGGCCCAGCGAAAGAAAATGGAGATTTGTGTGAAGCAAGCACCACAAATCTCTCTGGGTTAGTCAGAAGTAAAGTTTTATTGGAAGCGTTTGCAAA